TGTCTTCTTTTAGAGAACCACTGAATGGAATGAAACCAAACATGGTATGAATGTTCCTTATGAGGTGCTGACCGAGTGTTGTTACTTTGAAGTCGATCCAAAAATCCAAGATGGCCGCCAGCGGGGGACTTAGTTTAACATGGGACCCTATGGGAAATACATACAAATGTCTTCTTTTAGAGAACCAGAGAATGGAATGAAACCAAACATGGCATGAATGTTCCTTATGAGGTGCTGACCAAGTGTTGTTACTTTGAAGCGGATCCATAATCCAAGATGGCCGCCTGCGGGGGACTTAGTTTAACATAGGACCCTATGGGAAATACATACAAATGTCTTCTTTTAGAGAACCACTGAATTGAATGAAACCAAACATGGTATGAATGTTCCTTATGAGGTGCTGACCAAATGTTGTTACTTTGAAGCCGATCCATTATCTAAGATGGCCGCCATCGGGGGACTTATTTTAACATAGGACCCCATGGGAAATACATACAAATGTCTTCTTTTAGAGAACCACTGAATGGAATGAAACCAAACATAGCCTGAATGTTCTTTATGAGGTGCTGACCAAGTGTTGTTACTTTGAAGCTGATCTATCATCCAAGATGGCTGCCTCAGGGGGACTTAGTTTAACATAGGACCCTAAGGGAAATACATACAAATGTCTTCTTTTAGAGAACCACTGTATGGAATGAAACCAAACATGGCATGACTGTTCCTTATGAGGTGCTGACCAAGTGTTGTTACTTTGAAGCCGATTCATCATCCAAGATGGCCGCCTGCGGGGGACTTAGTTTAACATAGGACCCTATGCAAAATATTTACAAATGTTTTCTTTTAGAGAACCACTGAATGGAATGAAACCAAACATGGCATGAATGTTCCTTATGAAGGGCTGACCAAGTGTTGTTACTTTGAAGCCGATCCATCATCCAAGATGGCCACCAGCTGGGGACAGTGTTTAACAAAGGACCCTACGGACAATACATACAAATGTCTTCTTTTACAGAACCACTGAATGGATTGAAACCAATCATGGCATGAATGTTCCTTATGAGGTGCTGACTAAGTGTTGTTACTTTGAAGCTGATCCTTCATCCATGATGGCTGCCAGCGGGGGACTTCCTTTAACATAAGACCATATTGGAAATACATACAAATGCTTCTTCTAGAGGTGCACTGAATGGAATGAAACCAAACATGGCATAAATGTTTCTTATGAGGTGTTGATGAAGTGTTGCTACTTTGTTGCTGATTTACTGTTCAAGATGGCCACCAGGATTTTTTATTGACTTACAGAGCCAATATTAAACCAAATTTGGCCTCACTCATTATTAGGGTATCTGTTATGATTTTAATCTATTTTAACATGATTTCCAAAACCAAAGTAGAATCAGGTGAGCGACACAGGCTCTTGAGAGCCTCTAGTTTTTATTAAAATCTGATATATGGCTAAAAAAATATTGTCTCATAACAAAACTTATCCAAAATTACAGTCAATATGTACTGTGACTTTGACCTCCTGACCTTAAAATCAATAGCAGCTTTATTCTTCTCAAGTGACACTTTCTAGCTATGTTTGGTGAATGTTGGACAAATGTTTCAAATGATATCATTCTGAAACAAAATTTTTGCCCCAATTTCAGTCTGAATTGCTACTGTGACCTTGACCTTTGAACTAGTGACGTCAAAATCAATATTAATTTATAAATTATGCCTTTTTAAAGGGATCTTAATAATGTTCAATGAAATTAACTTCTTATTGAAATTTAATTGATAAATTTCTCTTCTTTCTTTTTTACTTATTCTTTAAATCATGCTACAGGGCTATTTAAGTTACAGATGTCTGAGAAGTAACAAAACAATAAACAGTTTCATTATGATGATATGTTACTGCAAAAAAAAAGAAGCATTACATGAAATATATTGAATTTTTAGCAAACAAAGCAGTATGCAACAAAATATAGGAGGATAAAACGATTTTGTAATCAGCAAAAATAGTAGCAAACCTATAGATTGAGCTTTCTCTCCAAGTTCTTCCCACTTCACCCTGTCAGATAAAAAAAAGTTAAGTTCTCCCTATTATTCTGTTGTGTGAACCTGGTATCCATAATATATCATACATCTAATAGAAATCAATAAAAAAGAAATTTAAAACGCCTGTATTTTGTTTTTTCTCTTAAATTTGTACTGTTAGAACATGGTATTTTCTTTCAAAGTATTGACTTATTAGCAAGTATTTAAAAAAATGTGTAATGTATCAAAGAGATTTTCTATTACCATAATATTGTTACTTGTTTTCTAAATTGTTGGCATTTGGTATTTAGACATACTGAAAAAAACCATTGAATCAGGAATCATTAAAATAAATGCACATGGTGAAAGTACAAATTACACTGCCAGGGAGATGCATGAGACAATTTTTATATCAGAAGAATGTCAAATAATATTCAATTAATACTAGTGTCAAAGCTTAAGTCTTGGATTTCTGATATGAAAACGTCAACTGACTTTTAAACTGATTGACTTTTTCTTGAGTATTAACAGTAGAAAAGGAGAAAGATTTCTAGCATAGATTAGTAACCAGATTTGACAAGTTTTCTATATAAATTGAGAACAGTAACCGTCCTGTAATTGGGAAGAAACATTTTTATAATTTTTTCACTTTTCAGTAATATTTGACATAAACATTTGTTCTTTGGTTTTTATACGACCGCAAAAAAATTTTTGTGGTCGTATATTGGTATGACGTTGGCGTCGTCGTCGTCGTCGTCGTCGTCGTCGTCCGGCGTCGTCGTCCGAATACACATTAGTTTTCGCACTCTAACTTTAGTTTAAGTAAATGGATCTCAATGAAATTTTACCATAAGGTTCAATACCACAAAAGGAAGGTGGGGATTGATTTTGGGGGTTATGGTACTAACAGTTAAGGAATTAGGGGCCAAAAGGGGCCAAAAATAAGCATTTTTGTAACTTCCAGACATAACTTGTGTGTAAGTGTATGGATCTCTCTGACATTGTACCACAAGGTTCCATATCACAAAGGGAATGCTGGGATTGATTTTGGGGGTAATTTCCTCCAAATTTTAGGAATTGGGGGCCAAAAAGGGGCAAAAAACAAGCATTTTTATACGACCATGACAATATCTTGTTTGTAAGTGTATGGATCTTTATGAAATTGTACTACAAGGTTCCATATCACAAAAGGAATACTGGGATTGATTTTTGGGGTAATTTCCTCCAAATTTTAGGAATTAGGGGCCAAAAAGGGGCAAAAAACAAGCATTTTTCTAGTTTCATGACAATAACTTGTTTGTAAGTGTATGGATCTTTATGAAATTGTACTACAAGGTTCCATATCACAAAGGGAAGGCTGGGATTGATTTTGGGGGTTTTCCCTCAAAATTTTAGTAATTAGGGGCCATAAAAGGGCAAAAAAAACATGCATTTTTCTAGTTTCAGGACAATAACTTGTGTGTAAGTGTATGGATCTTTATGAAATTGTACTGCAAGGTTCCATATCACAAAGGGAAAGCTGGAATTGAGTTTGGGGGTAATTGCCCTAAACGTTTAGGAATTTGGGGCCAAAAAGGGGCCAAAAAACAAGCATTTTTCTAGTTTCCAGACAATAACTTGTGTTCAAGTGTATGAATCTCTCTGAAATTGTACTGCAAGGTACCATACCACAAAGGGAAAGCTGGGATTGAGTTTGGGGGTGATGAATCATAAGGGGGTTCAAAAAATTGGGGGGGGATTTTTTTTTCCTTTTTTTTCTTTAACATTTTTCATTTTAAATTGGTTATTTCTGATTTATATATAAAAGCAAATAATAATGATATGGTTTGAATAGGCATACATGTGAACCTCCCGACGGGAGTACAATAATCCCGTTTTCAGGGGTCTCCTCCCGACCTCCCGTTGAAGAGGAAAAAATCCCGTGCATGAAATTTTTCATGAATGAAAAATTTCTGCCCAACATATCATCTCAGGCATCTGGTGTAACTGACATTACCTGAAGTTATATTTTACCTGTAAATCAATTAACATGCATAATTATATGGCTTCACTTGTCAGCTTGGGTGTCAAACATACAGGTAATCAACGATTTTTACCTCAGGCTAACTGCCGTTGTGTAACAAAAACTGTGTATTTATTGGGTTACTTCCCTTGATTTATCCTGTTTTAAGTTACTTTCCTTTTAATAATGAAAATATTTAAAAGAATATAAATAAAATATAAATTGAACAAATAATCATAAAAGGATGGTTATTAAATGATTTTAAATGTCTTAGGACAAATAAAAAAATAATAATTTGAAAATTATTTGAGGATTCTAGACTTCCTTTCAAGGCTTAAATTGAAATTTATATAATAGCTATGACCCTAATTTTACAGATAAAATGATTTTCTGAGTTTGCAAATAAAAACTATTTGCAAGAGAAAAAAAAAAAAAAAAACTATTTGCAGATAGCTAAACAAATGTTCTGGTTGCAATGATTGTTTTATAGAATATGAAGTAAAAAATTTAAAGAACATACTGGAAAAATACAATGTTAGATTGAACATGTAGAATATAAAGATGGAGAAACTTTATAAGTACAAGGGTACTATAAACATAATAAATTGGATGGAAAGTTGAAGAAAACACACTTTAAAAGACCATTTTTACAGCACACGGTTACATTTACAACAAAATTAATGTCGATTAAAAACCTCCTGATCTGAGTCCTAATCTCCTGACCAAAATTTCCCAATCTCCTGATCTGAGTTTCACAGTCCATCACATGTATGAATAGGTAAATTGAAAATTTTTAAGTTCTTAGACCACTTTCATTCTGTGTCAGAAACCTATGCTGTGTCAAATATTTAATTACAATCCAAATTCAGTGCTGTATCAAGCTTGAATGTTGTATCCATACTTGCCCCAACTGTTCAGGGTTCGACCTCTGCGGTCGTATCAAGCTGCGCCCCAGCGGAGCATTTTATTATATTTACAGGGAGCCAAAGATAAACTTTCAGAATTTGGAAAAACTGGTAAATCTTACAATGCGATCAGAAAAATTAAACAGTTTGAAGAGTATTTCTCCAGTAAAACATTCCCATCAGAGGCAATAGAGATTTTTAAAGAAGCACAGAAACTAATTGAAGAGTAAGATTTAGTATATATGTTATAGAAATACATGGTTCCCACATGTCATTAGAGAATAAGCTGTAGACAGCAACTAATAAGTGAAAAAAATTAAATTTTTATGAAAATATGATTAACTTTTTTAAAGATTAAGCAAAGAACCAGAAATATTTCAACAGAATAACAGTCTGCTTCGATGACAAATAAACAACCAACTTGTGAATGAAAAAACACAAACAAAAACAGTAAAAATCAAAATATGGGATCAATAGTTTCATTTTTTTGGCTTTCAAAAGTGAGTCTAAGTGTTTCATTAGGAAGGACAGACATAATCAAAGTCAACATTGAACAAAAGAAACTGAATATTTAAAAATCACAAAAGTAAATTTGATGTTAAACAGCCCTCAAGATAGAAATTAAAAGGAACAGTGAACTCTTTCTTTTCAAATTAATTGATCTTGTTTGTGATGCAGTAGGTTGGGTGTCTACAAATGTATTTTGGTGGAGTTTAAGACATACTAATTCTAAATTCCATAAAAGAATAATGTTACCAACATTTGGTGGCGTCACTTTAACCGTTCTAGAGTTATGCCCCTTTACAAATGGAAAAAATGCTGAATTTTTCGTTTCCGTTCTCTAACTTAAGTTTGCCGCAACTAAATGTTATGAAACTTATACACAATGCTTATTACCACAAATCACAGATCAAGTTTGAATTTTGGTGGCGTCACTTTTACCGTTCTAGAGTTATGCCCCTTTACAAATGGAAAAATTGCTGAATTACGTTTCCGTTCTCTAAGTTAAATTTGCCCCAACTTAATGTTGTGGAACTTATAAACAATGCTTAATACCACAAAACTCAGATCAAGTACAAATTTGGGTAGCGCCACTTTTACCGTTCTTGGGTTTTGTCCCTTTATAATGTTATATGCAAGCGAGGACACATTCTGTTAGAAATAATATCTTTAAGCCAACTTTTTTATATATATGTTTCAACATGGAAGTAATATTTAAAAGGAATAACAACGACTAATTAGCATGTATTAACAGCCTGCAGAGCTCTGTACTAAAGTCATATGATTTTATTCAATTATAGTCTCAGCGGCAAGACCCCTTTGGTTACTATCTGTGATACTGCGGTTGTAAAATGGCATCTGGAATTTCTTATCAGTCACATGATTTTATCGAGTCCGGTAATTATAAAGCACCTGTGTGAAATCCGAGGTTTATTAATAAGAAGGTGGCGCTGTATCATATAAAACCTCTACCTTCAGAAAGAAGTCGTATGATGTAAAAAACTTGAAAAACGGACGAGAATTGATCAACCTACAACAGTTTAGTTCGGAAAATTGTATTTAATTTAGCATATTTTTGCTTTTTACCGTTTGTTTTAAACTGTTCTAAAAGTATTTTCCGGTTAAAAGCGGATCCCGAGTAAACAGTTAAATACCGATGAATCGATCAGGTTTCACATGATGTTGAACAAAATAATGTAGACAGATGTAGACATAGAATATTTTACTGTTGAAATGTGCCAAGTTTATCGAGATTTATAAAAATATTTACTTTCAACAAGTAATTGATTACGTTATTGAAACTGGACAATGAAAATCGGGATCAAAAGTTCGTAAACATGTTAAATTTATATCCATTTTAAAAAAGTGTTTACAATTGAATACTAATATTAATGTAGCACGTTACAGCAAAAAGAAAATCAACCATACAAAACGAGCTTGACGCTATCTGTCTAACCGCAAATTTATTTTATATGAATTTGTTTATGTACAAATTAAAGAATAGAAACGTTTAAAATTGTGAATATTTAATTTGCCTGGTATACACGGAAGACTTGGATTATTCGTATTTAATAAAAGGGGGTCGAAACATATTTTTTGTACAATCATCTTCTTAACTTTCAGAAATGTCTTCTTAATTAACTGCATGGTTTTAAGTATTAAAATTGAAAATGATCCACCCTTTTTCTTAAATTCAATATGTGATAACTGTCGGCCTAAACTATTAAGATCGAAAAAGACATAAATAGGAAAAATAGACTAAAATCAACATTGAATGACTGACTCTATTCGGTAGCGTACAGCAGCGGAATGTAACGAGTGAACTATTCGGGTTACTTCGTACGTACATACGACAACAACTGGTCTATTCGTAATTTTCCGGGAACACGAAAATGACCGAAAAGTGTCAGTGATTTGATCTATCACATGCCGAGAGTCAATTACCATGCCATATATTAAACCAATTAACGAGTTATCGAAAGATGGGCGGTAATGCAGATGAAACCTTTGAAGTGACGACGTTGTTATTCCTTTCAATATTACTTCCATGGTTTCAATGATTTTTTTTTGCCATTTAGCTTGCTACAAACCATGTTTTAAGCAGTGAAATTACAGAATGATTTAAATGAGGACTTATTTTTATGGTTATCTGTTTTCATCCATAAAAATTCACATTTTTGGGATATTTTTGATTGGGGTAATTAAGTTTAGGGTTTAATAAGAAATTTGTGTATCCCACTGATTGCTCTGATAACATGATATAACCAAAGGCAAATGGTACTTTTTTCAGAAAGAGATTAAAACAAAATTTTTTAAAGATATTTTCACTTCTAGGAAATTGACAACTGTTGGCCTATCAAACCAAAAAGCTTTTTTGATGGATCAAAGTAGATCTTCAATATTAGAAAATAAATATATCTGCTAGACTTTTCAATGTTTTCTACTGAATAAAATCAGTCAATGACTTCTGTGTAATTATAATGATAAACAATTTGATGACCGTCAACTTGTTTTCATTAAGTGGATATTTAACATACAATATTCTGGTAAATTTGTTCCTTTAGGATTGTAGTTTTGATTTTAAGTATACTTTTCTTTTAAGTACCAAAGTTGTTTTAAAAGGATAAGGCATGTAAGTAGTGCATAAAACTTTGAAATTAATTTAATCATTATATTTCAGTGTGGAGAAAAATGAAGACCGACTTCATGAATTAGTAACAGAATATGCCTACCCTGTATGTATATGTACATTAATATTCAATTGAAAATGAATTGATTATGGAATAAAGCACATTAAGAGGCAGTCAGAATTTTTTACAAAAGTTATAGGAGATTTTTCCAACAAGGATATAGATATCACAAATTGGTAAAAAATTTTACCAAATTGTATCACAAAAAAAGGGATTTACTAGCATTGTGAAAGTAAATTCCCCTGGCAGAAAAGAAATAAAAAGTGGTAACAAGTTAAAAAATATTCTTAAAAATTCATTTTTAATTTGTTGACATATTGATAAAGTTTGATAAATATTCTTAAAATAATTACATTACATGTGTGTTTCATGAGAATCTGTTAGTTTGATTGGCTAATGACAATCGAGCGTCATTAAAAAAAAAACCCATCATATCAAAATGAAATGTTACATTCGTGATGACAGGTGCTTTCACAAAAAAGTGCACAGATAAATAAAAGAAAAACTTGATAAAACTTTTTTTCATGGTCTTAGCATAAAAATGTTTTTATAAGAAATGAATGCCTCTTTTAGTAATTTGATAGGGTTGTAAAAGTGTTAATCGTGCACACATTTTTAGAATAAGCTTCCGCGCTTTATACAAAATGTGCTTCAGTCAACACTTTTACACCCCAATAAAATTACAAAAAGAAGTATTCATTTCTTAAATAATACTGTAGTTGTTTTAAAATCATTGTGTCTTGTATCCTTTGGGATTGATATTGATACTTTTTTTTGTTTCTTTTATGTTCTTTTATGTATTAAAATTATTTACACAAAGGAGAAGGTAAATTTTTGGGTTTATTTGGCCCTCTAAATTATTAAAGCAAAACCATTTCTAATCAGATTCTTAAGCGGCAGAAGGAAGAATTATTATTTTTATTGAATTGTAGCAAATGACAGTGGGTTTAGACACTAAAACATTGCGATGGAATTTTGTGGATTCAATTGAGCCTCCTAGAACTGTCCATTGCAGAACAACAGATTTGTTGACCAAAGACAATTTATATGCACAAGTAACAGTTAGATTTCACACAAGACAGGTAAGCTGTGCTAGTTCTAGAAAGGATTTGTATGCCAATTCACTTACCTATGTCTGTCATTCTGCATATCAAATATCAAATATCTGTCCAGACTTTTTTTTCGTTATTCCTGCAGATATTGACCTGATTTATAGTCTGGCTTACAACAAATGTTTAGTTCATTGGATAATGTTAAGTTTTCGTGATTTGAATCATTTATGGTGTACTATAGTCGATAGGTCAACTTTATTTGGTGTATAAAATGATTGTAAAGTGTACATGTCCTTCTGACTTGGTTCATCTGACCTTGGTCTCATTTTAAAGGGTCACTTATATTATTATGTTAATATGATACCTGTAGTAAAACCTTTGATTTTTTTCAAAGAATTTCTACCTAAAATTCAGTCAAGATTAGTAAGCAGACAAAACATTTCAGCATGTTTTCTCTTGTTGGTACATAAGTGTATAATGATGACTCACAGATTGAGTTTGCATTTATATTCAGATTTATTGCAGCATAATGGCCCTTAGAACTAGAAAAAATCATGAAAATTGAATTTGTTTTCATACTTTTATTTGGTAATGCCTACAGAACTGAAGCTGACTTTTGGTACATAACAACGGGTATATGAGATGACTTACGGCTGTTGGACCTTTAAAATTTCATGATAATTGTACTTGTCCTGACAGGTTTTTTATACGACCGCAAAAATTAAAAATTTTTTGGTCGTATATTGGTATGACGTTGGCGTCGTCGTCGTCGTCGTCGTCGTCGTCGTCGTCGTCGTCGTCGTCGTCGTCGTCCGGCGTCGTCTGGCGTCGTCCGAAGACACATTGGTTTTCGCACTCTAACTTTAGTTTAAGTGAATGGATCTCCATGAAATTTCACCATAAGGTTCAATACCACGAAAGGAAGGTTGGGATTGATTTTGGGGGTTATGGTACCAACAGTTAAGGAATTAGGGGCCAAAAAGGGGCCAAAAATAAGCATTTTTGTAACTTTCAGACAATAACTTGTGTGTAAGTGTATGGATCTCTCTGACATTGTACCACAAGGTTCCATATCACAAAGGGAAGGCTGTAATTGATTTTGGGGGTAATTGCCTCAAAATTTTAGGAATTAGGGGCCAAAAAAGGGGCAAAAAACAAGCATTTTTCTAGTTTCATGACAATAACTTGTGTGTAAGTGTTTGGATATTTCTGAAATTGTACTACAAGGTTCCATATCACAAAGGGAAAGCTGGAATTGAGTTTGGGGGTAATTGCCCGAAACGTTTAGGAATTGGGGGCCAAAAAGGGGCCAAAAATAAGCATTTTTCTAGTTTCCAGACAATAACTTGTGTTCAAGTGTATGGATCTCTCTGAAATTGTACTGCAAGGTACCATACCACAAAGGGAAGGCTGGGATTGAGTTTGGGGGTGATGAATCATAAGGGGGTTCAAAAAATTTGGGGGGGGGGGGATTTTTTTCCATTTTAAGTTGGTTATTTCTGATTTATATTTAAAAGCAAATAATAATGATATGGTAGGAGATATACACCAAACAGGATGTGTAAATTATTATATAATAAGTATTGTGCAATAGCAAGAAATTTTCAATTGCACGTACAGTATTGCACAATAGCAAGAAATCTTCAATTGCGCAGTATTGCGCAATAGCAAGAAATCTTCAATTGCACAGTATTGCGCAATAGCAAGAAATATCCAATAGCACAATATTGCGCAATAGCAAGAAATTGTCAATTGTACAGTATTGCGCAATAGCAAGAAATATTCAATTGCACAGTATTGTGCAAAAGAAGATACTTCGTATAAATTGCTTATTTCTTGATCAATTTCAATGGGGTTTTATTCTTGAATTCTTGGGGTTCTTTAATATGCTGAATCTAACCGTGTATTAAGTTTTTGGATTTTGGGCCCCGTTTTTAAATTGGTCCACATTGAGGTCCAAAGGGTCCAAAATTTAACTTTGTTTGATTTCATCAAAAATTGAATTATTGGGGTTCTTTGATATGCCGAATCTAACCGTGTATTTAGATTTTTAATTTTGGGTCCCGTTTTTTAAATTGGTCTACATTAAGGTCCAAAGGGTCCAAAATTAAACTTAGTTTGATTTTAACAAAAAATGAATTCTTGGGGTTCTTTGATATGCTGAATCTAAACATGTGTTTAGATTTTGATTATGGGCCCAGTTTTCAAGTTGGTCCAAGTTGGGGTCCAAAATTAAACTTTGTTTGATTTCAACAAAAATTGAATATATGGGGTTCTTTGATATGCTGAATCTTAACATGTATTTAGATTTTAGATTTTTGGCCCAGTTTTCAAGTTGGTCCAAATTGGGGTCCAAAATTAAACTTTGTTTGATTTCAACAAAAATTGAATATATGGGGTTCTTTGATATGCTGAATCTTACCATGTATTTAGATTTTTTATTTGTGGGCCCGCTATCAAATTGGTTCATATTGAGGTCAAAAGGGTCCAAAATTAAACTTTGTTTGATTTCATCAAAAATTGAATAATTGGGGTTCTTTGATATGCCAAATCTAACCGTGTTTTTAGATTTTTAATTTTGGGTCCCGTTTTTTAAATTTGTCTACATTAAGGTCCAAAGGGTCCAAAATTAAACTTAGTTTGATTTTAACAAAAATTGAATTCTTCGGGTACTTTGATATGCTGAATCTAAACATGTGTTTAGATTTTTGATTATGGGACCAGTTTTCAAGTTTGTCCAAGTTGGGGTCCAAAATTAAACTTTGTTTGATTTCAACAAAAATTGAATATATGGGGTTCTTTGATATGCTGAATCTAACCATGTATTTTGATTTTGGACATTGGACCATAATAGGTAAATTAAAAAAATTGAAGTTCTTAGACCACATTCTTTCTGTGTCAGAAACCTATGCTGTGTCAAATATTTAATCACAATCCAAATTCAGAGCTGTATCAAGCTTGAATGTTGTGTCCATACTTGCCCCAACTGTTCAAGGTTCGACCTCTGCGGTCGTATCAAGCTGCGCCCAGCGAAGCATTTTATTTTGTAATACCTGCAGATATGAAGTTGTCTAAAGATGACTTTCAGATCAAGTTCTATTTGACAATCTTTTGGTTATAAGACTGCAAGTCTGACACTTTGTTCACAGAAATCAAATACATTGAATAAAATGAATTAATGGAATGAAATTGTGACTGATACTCAATAGAACGTAATTGGTAGATATTTGAATTATAATTCCTTTCAAGATATTAAATTAATATATAGATTTATAAATTAGACAAAATATTCAAAGTGACCATGATTTAGTAATAATAAAATAAGGATATGTATATACTAGAGTTACAGTTTTTTTTACACACAGGCAGTATTACAGTATTAACCTCTTCAAAAGATGAGTACTTTATCAACCACTGCTTTATATTGATAAATAAAGGTTTTAGCTACCAATTCCTGTTGAAAAATGAAACAATGCAATACTGATGCTTTGTTTTATATGTAACTGACCATTTATTTTTATTATATGACCGCAAAAAAATTTTTGTGGTCATATATTGGTATGACGTTGGCGTCGTCGTCGTCGTCGTCCGGCATCGTCCGAAGACACATTGGTTTTCGCACTCTAACTTTAGTTTAAGTGAATGGATCTCTATGAAATTTTACCACAAGGTTCAATACCACAAAAGGAAGGTTGGAATTGATTTTGGGGGTTATGGTACCAACAGTAAAGGAATTAGGGGCCAAAAAGGGGCCAAAAATAAGCATTTTTGTAACTTCCAGACATAACTTGTGTGTTAGTGTATGGATCTCTCTGACATTGTACCACAAGGTTCCATATCACAAAAGGAATGTTGGGATTGATTGTGGGGGTAATTGCCTCAAAATTTTAGGAATTAGGGGCCAAAAAAGGGACAAAAAATAAGCATTTTTCTAGTTTCATGACAATAACTTGTGTGTAAGTGTATGGATCTTTCTGAAATTGTACTACAATGTTCCATATCACAAAGGGAAAGCTGGAATTGAGTTTGGGGGTAATTGCCGAAACGTTTAGGAATTGGGGGCCAAAAAGGGGCCAAAAATAAGCATTTTTCTAGTTTCCAGACAATACCTTGTGTTCAAGTGTATGGATCTCTCTGAAATTGTACTGCAAGGTACCATACCACAAAGGGAAGGCTGGGATTGATGATGGGGGTAATTGCCTCAATATTTTAGGAATTAGGGGCCAAAAAGGGGCAAAAAACAAGCATTTTTCTAGTTTCAGGACAATAACTTGTGTGTGAGTGTATGGATCTTTCTGAAATTGTACTACAAGGTTCCATATCACAAAGGGAAAGCTGGGTTTGAGTTTGGGGGTAATTTCCCTAAACGTTTAGGAATTTGGGGCCAAAAAGGGGCCAAAAAACACATTTTTCTAGTTTCCAGACAATAACTTGTGTTCAAGTGTATGGATCTCTCTGAAATTGTACTGCAAGGTACCATACCACAAAGGGAAGGCTGGGATTGAGTTCGGGGGTGATGAATCATAAGGGGGTTCAAAAAATTTGGGGGGGATTTTTTTTTTTTTTTCCTTTTTTTTTTCTTTTAAAATTTTCCATTTTAAGTTGGTTATTTCTGATTTATATTTAAAAGCAAATAATAATGATATGGTAGGAGTTACACACCAAACAGGATGTGTAAATTATTATATAATAAGTATTGTGCAATAGCAAGAAATTTTCAATTGCACAGTATTGCATAATAGCAAGAAATCTTCAATTGCACAGTATTGCGCAATAGCAAGAAATCTTCAATTGCACAGTATTGCGCAATAGCAAGAAATATCCAATAGCACAATATTGCGCAATAGCAAGAAATTGTCAATTGTACAGTATTGCGCAATAGCAAGAAATATTTAATTGCACAGTATTGTGCAAAAGAAGATACTTTTTATAAATTGCTTATTTCTTGACCAATTTCAATGGGGTTTTATTTTTGAATTCTTGGGGTTCTTTAATATTCTGAATCTAACCGTGTATTTAGTTTTTGGATTTTGGGCCCCGTTTTTAAATTGGTCCACATTGAGGTCCAAAGGGTCCAAAATTAAACTTTGTTTGATTTCATCAAAAATTGAATTATTGGGGTTCTTTGATATGCCGAATCTAACCGTGTATTTAGATTCTTAATTTTTGGTTCTGTTTTCAAATTGGTCTACATTAAGGTCCAAAGGGTCCAAAATTAAACTTAGTTTGATTTTAACAAAAATTGAATTCTTGGGGTTCTTTGATATGCTGAATCTAAACATGTATTTAGATTTTTGATTATGGGCCCAGTTTTCAAGTTGGTCCAAATCGGGGTCCAAAATTAAACTTTGTTTGATTTCAACAAAAATTGAATATATGGGGTTCTTTGATATGCTGAATCTAACCATGTATTTAGATTTTTGATTTTTGGGCCCCGTTATCAACTTTGTCCACATTGAGGTCAAAAGGGTCCAAAATTAAACTTTGTTTGATTTCATCAAAAATTGAATTCTTGGGGTTCTTTGATATGCTGAATCTAACCATGTATTTAGATTTTGGATATTGGACCATAATAGGTGAATGTCCAATTTAAAATTTTTAAGTTCTTAGACCACATTCATTCTGTGTCAGAAACCTATGCTGTGTCAAATATTTAATCACAATCCAAATGCAAAGCTGTATCAAGCTTGAATGTTGTGTCCATACTTGCCCCAACTGTTCAGGGTTCGACCTCTGCGGTCGTATCAAGCTACTCCCTGCGGAGTATTTTATTATAGAAATATCTTTTAGCACTACTTGACTAGGAAAGCAATTTTCTATTATGCAACAAAAATTGCAAGAATATATCTCTGCATTGATAATTTGATGATTTTTTCGATTTACAAGATACTGTCATGTAAGTTGTAGGTCAATCATCACATAAGAAAATTTCTAGTTGACCGTGTAACATCAAATTATTTTGTTTTTAAAATATACAAATGTACTATAATTAATAGATTAATTGTTAATTGCATATGCATATGCATATTTATTGTGTATTTGTGATTTAATTAAAAATAAAATTAATATAGATCCATTCATTATTTCAGACATTAGCTATCTATGATAGATTTGGGAGACTTGCATATGGTAGTGAAGATTTGATTAAAGACGTGTTAGAATTTGTTGTGTTTGAAAAACATATTTCTGATGAATATGCTAACTGGAGAATTCACAGTAAAATTATTCCAAAATGGATACCAGTTAGAGATCCTTTACATAAAACTTACATTAAACCCCATATGGAGCCAATACCTGATGAGGAGGAAGACAAACCAGAAAAAGAGGCTGTTAAAGCATAGATCTTAAGAAATAGCTCATTTGGACAATATGTGCAAACAATCACCCTAAAAAACACAGTTTGAGTTGAAGAATAGAAGGAAGATGCCATTCACTTTATGTCTGCAAATCTGATATTTAACCAGCAGATAGTTTGTTTGGTTCCAATTAGTTGCATCTTTCTAAGTGATAATTTTTGTATATAAATACGTTTTTTACTTGTACTTTGTTTGCTTTGTACATGTTTTATTTATATATGAGTTGATAATATAGACATTTTAATTGAACAGGAACTTCATAGTTTGAAAGTGTATATTGCCATTTTAAATTTGCTCTAGCTAAATGAATACTAACTGATCATTTTTTATGTCCCATTTATGGGCATTATGTTTTTCGGTCTGTGCGTGCGTTCGTTCGTACGTTAGTATGTTCGTTCGTTCGTTCGTCCTTCTGTCCTGCTTCAGGTTAAAAATTTTCAGGTTAAAGTTTTTGGTCAAGGTAGTTTTTGATGAAGTTGAAGTCCAATCAACTTGAAACTTAGTACACATGTTCCCTATGATATGATCTTTTTTAATTTTAATGCCAAATTAAAGTTTTGACACCAATTTCACGGTCCACTGAACATAGAAAATGATAGTGCGAGTGGGGCATCCGTTTACTATGGACACATTCTTGTTTAGTTCACCTCTAAAATGGTGAGGAGGATTAGTCAAGCAGTCTCAAAGTCCATATCTGTGTCTGTGTGTCCATGATTTTCTGCCTTTCATGTTTGAAGTTAAAAATCATTTTAAGATCAAAAGTAGCCTATATCCATGAGGCTGTAAGGATACATTTGGGAAATATAGCAGTTTTCCGTCAAATTTAGGTCACTTATCCCTCCATTTCTTGATTTAGTGACATGTTTTTAGTGTGATGTCAAAATGCAGTTCTCAGATACTAATTTACCTTCGTTCAGATAACTTGATATAAGAGTATATGTAAGGGAGTATAACAGTTTTATGCCACAGTTGGTTACTCTGATCAACATAATATTTCATGTTATAGTGACTTTGTTTAAGTCAAGTAGTTGCCCTTCCAGATCTGAGATACTAAATGACCTTGATTGATTTGAATTTATATAAGGCTTTAACAAAATTATGTCATTGAGGAGTAATTTAACTATTTAGTTACTTTGATTCAATTTAACCTTGAAGTTAATTACTCCATTGCATTTAAGTCTGCAATCCAAAATTGATGCCAGTCTTAACCCAAACAAATTCATTATGGCTGGCATTGCAGCCCTTTTGCATTGAAAATAGTTCACTTCCCTGACATCGACCGCAAAACATTTTGCGGTCGTATATTGGTGTCACCTCTTGGTCAGCGTCGTCTGAAGACAGTTGGTTTCCGGATAATATCTTTAGTATAATTAAATAGAAATCTATGAAATTTAAACACAAGGTTTATAACCACAAAAGGAAGGTTGGGATTGATTTTGGGGGTTATGGTCCTAACAGTTTAGGAATTAGGGGCCAAAAAGGGGCCCAAATAAGGATTTTTCTAGTTTCCAGACAATAACTTGTGGAACGGTGTATTGATCTCTCTGAAATTATAACACAAGTTTCCATACCACAAAGGGATGGTTAGGATTTGCTTTGGGGGGGGGGGGGGGGGGTTATGGCTCAAACCGTTTAGGAATTAGGGGCAAAAAAGGGGGAAAAACAAGGGTTTCCTGGTTAATGGACAATTACTTAAGACAATTTAAAAGCAGTGTAAGGGAGGTAATACAAACACAACGTTTTGATAACCTCCCTTACACTGCTTTTAAATTATGTATAAAGAAATTTTGTATTGTCTTGAGATGATTAGCTGTCAATTGATTTTTAGAAATTACTATTAAGGAATATTAATTTTAGCCATGAATATGTATGTCATTTTCTATTTTAAGACTTTTATGATGTATTTAAATGGGTAATTATGGTTGCAAACTCCATTGGAGGGGGTTAAAAAGAAGGGGGGGGGGGGGGGGGGGGGGGGGTCAATACGCAACAGCATAGTGTATTGCACAAAAGCAAAAAAAAAGGAGGGGGGTAAATTTTTTTTTTAATTTATGTGGAGAGGTGGGGTCAATTCGCAACAGCAAAGTGAATTGCACAAAAGCAAAAAATTGAATATAAATTCAAATCATATAACCAATTCTTAAGTTCTTTGACTACAGTTATTCTGTGTCAGAAACCTATTATGTGTCAAATATTTAATTACAATCCAAATTCAAACCTGTATCAAGCGCGAATATTGTGTCCATTTTTGCCCCAACTGTTCAGGGTTGGACCTCTGCGGTCGTATCCAGCTGCGCTCTGCGAAGCAAATTATTAAAGATTCTATTAGTTATAAGGACAGTTGCAGGAACTAGTTAAACTTTGTCATCATGGAAAACCTATGTTTATCTGATAGACTTTTATCACGCTACCCTCACTCTCCCTCTCAAATCTCTTAATAGATTTTACATGCACTATATTATTGTTAGGGCTGGAGGAACTTTTATTATTGGAATTGAGCCGATGGATGATTTTTCACTAAAATTTTGGGAATTTAGGATTAGAACATATAGGAAATAACATACAGTAATATTCTACTAGGAAATCAAGATTTGCATTTCATTTCTCTGAACCCTTTAGAATGAGGAAAACTGCTAGCACCTATCTCATGTACTTTGTGACACACAGATAGTTATGTCTTCAACATTATATTGAAATGATCATATTCAATGTAGCAATGAAGAATTTTGAATAAGATAGCTTTGCAACTAAGATTTCATCATGGTAACATATTTTTTAATAACATGCTAGAATTGGACAGTTTAATCTTTATTTATATGAATATATATGAATAGAAATGAAAAAAAAATCTACAGACTAATCTTAACGAATCAAAAGAACAGAATTCTCAATCTGGAAAGTGAAATTATTCAACTAAAAAAGTGGAGAATAGCTTAACCAAAACTAATACAAATATCACTCCAACTCAGATTAATTCCACTTTTGGTCACCAAACTCAAAGATCATACACCTGGCCAAAGTCAACACCATCAAAACAGCTGTTGTCAACAACAAATTGATCACAGGATCAGAATGTTGAAACTCAAATTGTACAAAATATATGCATCAATACAGCTATAACAACCCAACTTGCAATGCAATTTAGATCATCTTATCCAATGACAGTAGCCCCACCAATCTTCAGCACTCAATAACTGTCTTCGTTCTCCATTACCAGCATATTGTCATTTTCAAGTCCATCATCGACCCATACACCCCAACCCTCCTGTGCCTGTGTATAACCATGCAATGTCTTACTCAACAGACAATACAACATCTACTGTCATCTACCTACAATTATCCAAACACCATTCCTTTCATGAATGTTCAAACAGCTACTCAAGCAACGCTAATGATCGGTGCTCATCCTTTATATTTAAACCAACAACAACAGTCAAACAATCATTTACAACATAGGCCTTATTCCAATCCTACACAACAGCTTCCTGAACAAGAAAATTGCCAACTATAAATCTAGATCACCAAATACTGCAACTTAGACCTGTTATGTTAATCATAAGTCTAAATTATTCTGAACAAACTCAATCACAAAACATTCCAAGTGGTGCCCATTCACTTGATCCTGGAAGACAGCAAGAACCGTTTACAAGAGTAACAAATCAGCATGAATCACATGCTACTCATTTTCTAATCATCCAATAACCTCTCAACCACTCAACTAGAAGCAGATAGAGCCAAAGATGGCATAGCCTCCATAGATACAGTAACAAAGTATATCCTACCTATAACAGTTAGTATAATAGTCCCAGATCCTACAAGAAACCACAAATAAGATTTCATTTCTACCTACACCAAACAAAGAAGCCTTACAACAACCTAATGAACTCATTCATCATCCAAACAAACAAGTGGAGCACAATGACAATATAACCTCAGAACCAAACAACCTTTTTCATTTAAATGGTCTTAACAAGCTCCTTCCAGAACGAAAAGAAATGGCAATATCAACCAGACTCTATTATATCTCATCCAGGCTGCAATATAGAAGGCATTCAGTCAAACCATCAATACCTACATACTTTGAATCTACAAAATATAATTGTTTACCATCAAGCTTTCAAGAACATTTTCTTCGAGACTTTCAAAAACAAACAAAAACTAGTATGGCAAACTTGTTTCTATCTCTGGCGAATATGACTAGATGTCCTAATGAAATTGAACCTATCTCAAACTTTAAAGCACAAAGAAGTCAAGGGGCGTATCTAGTTTATGGCCAAAACAATGGTCTAACAAAGTAAAGAAATTAGAGGAAGGAAATATTCGTATCATTGCAATAACTTAGGTTGCAACTAAACCCCAACTCTAAACCCATCAATACCTATATGCCAACAATAAATAAAACTTAGAAACACTATAGGCTGAACGTCTGGTTAGATAATTTTTTTGAAATTTCAAACTAATTATGTAATCGTCTTGCCTGGCGATCTCAATAGGACACTACTTCCCTCAAGAATGAACAAGCATGTTAGAAATTTGAAAGACTGTTCGAGAGGTTCAACCACTTGTTCAACCCGATAAAGGTTATCAACCAACGTTTTTTCATCATTCAAACAATCGACTATATCCTTTCCAACAGGAACAATATACCTACGAAATCCGAAAATTTAGGTAAATCCTATGCCAATACATCTGCACACTGTGCTGCCAATCTCAAAACCAACATCATTATTCCTCTTTCGACACACAATGGAAACCAAAGAAAAATAAAGAAAACCTAAATTTTATGGGAAAAAAAGAGATGAAGAGAAATATTTCTGAAGGAGTTGCAACAGAACGAATTACCAACAAAGAAAATCAATTTGTAAATAGAGAGTATATCAAATTCGCTCATAAATGCCCCAAATCGGTGTATTACAACCAAAGTCACACAACTTAAAGGGCCAAAACAGATAGCCTCGCCAGAGGTTTTAGAAATATTAAGAGATTTCCAAAGTTCTTTATAACAAATGGTCCAATATAGGCAAACAATCGGGCCACTCTTTGCAAAAGTTCAGATAATCTCAACGGGCAGATCAAGATATCGGAAACACCATTCATAGCCAAATTATGAACACTTCAGGATCACAGATGTTGTATAGACTAATTAGGGGAAACAAAGGGATAAGGGATTTGATGAAAATAAATTTCTTTTTTTCACCTAAAGATTAAATGAAAGCTTTTTGTAAATTTACTATCTGGATGACAGGGTC